TCGTGAGCTGGACCAGCTCCCCCGCTAGTCGGCTTCAGGTCTAGAACGACAGGGCTATGACGGCATGTGCCTTCCCCAGCTATCCTAGTTGGCTTTGAGGCGGAGGAGTGTGACCGACTTACCTCATGCCGACCTACCTACCTACCTTGCTTGCCCAGCACCTCCATTCACATTTCTTCCTACACCTGCCTCCCACTCCACGAAGCTGCTGCATACAAAAACTAGCTCAATCCTCTCAACCTCTCTTCTCCGCTTCCACAATTTTCGTGCTTCGTCCCTCTTAACGCCCACCGTCGAGATTTCCAAAAGGACAAGGAAAAATTCACGAAATTGAACGGGCATATCAACAAGCATCCACTGTGTCTCTCCTCCGACAACGTCTTCACAGTCCACACAGCTAGCCTCAGGGAAAGCCCCAACCAAACATGTCGAAACGGACAAGCAGCGTAGCCACCAATGGCAAGGCAGCCAAAGATGCTGCTGATAGCTTCGCCGAGCCTGGTATGTTGCACGCACTGCTCTCTCCAGATGCCATCCGAGCTAATACGTCGCCTTCAATGCAGCCCACGACAAGCAAAATCTCCTTCTCGCGGCCGACCCCGGTCACTTTTCTTTGATCCGCGCCCTCCACCTTGCCGACGCAATTACCCTCTGTAATGGTACGGTCTCACATATTCCCAGCTTCTTCCGCACGTTGTCCCAAGCGAGATGCGTCTTCTGAGACCGGATGCACTGCAAAGTCATATTGAGAGGAGAAGAGCACTGCTGACTTGCTGTGGAATAGGAGCTTGTGGTGTCATGTCAATTTTTACCTCTCTGCGCTACTGTCTTGGCGATCCCTCGTCCACTAGCACGCTGTACCTCGCCCTCTCCTTCCTACCATTTGGCCTCTTCTTCGACTTCATGGACGGTAAAGTTGCACGTTGGAGAAAGAAGAGTGGTATGATGGGCCAAGAGCTTGATTCTCTGGCTGACCTGGTACGTTTTCAAGCGACAAATCCGTTTATCCCGGGTTGATGGTCTACACCTATGATCCTTGCCAGGGAATAACAGAGTCTCTCCGAGCGGGATTGAGTTGGAGCAAGCCCGGCTGATATATAACACAGATCTCTTTCGGCGTCGCTCCTGCTTCTGTGGCCTTCGCCCTTGGTTTGCGCACACCCATCGACCACCTCTGCCTGACCTTCTTTGTCCTCTGCGGCCTCACGCGTCTCGCTCGCTTCAACGTAACTGTCGCCGCTCTTCCTAAGGATGCAACTGGAAAGAGCAAATACTTCGAAGGCACTCCCATCCCTACCAGTCTTGGCCTTGACGCTGTGATGGCGTACTTGGTATCTCAGCGTTGGATTCTTCAGGACCTTCCTCTCGGAACGTGGCTGTCGGGAACTGCACTGGAATTCCACCCCATTGCTCTTGTGTTCGTGGTTCACGGATGCCTTATGACCAGCAAGAGCATTCATATTCCCAAGCCTTAGGGCGTGTCTCCTAACTTTTTCGGTCATACCATGAGCTAAGCGGGCGAGAGTCTGTCCTTCCTAGTTCTTGAGACGTGTTTGCGCCTCAACACGAGCACAAGAATAAAGAAACAAGAGAGGTCTCGTAAGATATCTCTGCGCAGCGAGAACACGAACTGGGGCCACGAGCTAGTCTTTCGCCGCAGAATCATACGAGGCGAAGCCAGAGGTGAACAATACGGAGCGGGAACTATCAGTCAATTGCACTGAGGGAATGGACGTCTGTAGCACAGAGATACACATCTAAGCGTGCACGCGAATATACAATACGCATGATACCCTACTTACACATTTTCCTCCATTGCCACTCGATCGTCGTCCATTGGCATCATTTGAAATTCGATTTTTCGTATTTTGTTCCCGCACATCCATGGATACGATTTGCGCCTCTAGTCTAGGCTACAAATTGCAAAATGTTTCACCACCCTCCCAAACACCATCTTCAAAATTCATTTTGTCATGAAAGCCATGCTCCATCTCTCACGTTCATGCCTTGTCCTCCTTGGGCTTCACCACGGAGGGGAATGGGTTATAGGTGCCGCGCTCTTCGCGCAGCTTCTTGATCTTCTCAACGGCCTCGGCGACGTCAACGGGCTTGCCGCGGTCCTGGCTCGAGGTGTCATCACGGTAGCGGATGTTGACCTGCTTGTTCTTCATCTCCTCGTCACCAACGACGAAAATGAAGTTGTATTGGCTATGCGAGTTAGTCACATTCTCAAACCAAACGGAAGCGCAGTCCATTGTACGTACCCAAGCTGAGCGCTGCGAATCTTCTTGGGCAGCGTGTTGCCGGACAGGTCGACATCACTAGAGAATTTGAGTTAGCGAATCTCTTCCAGATCTAAACGGGTAGCGGAGAACTACTCACACCCACATGCCCTGCTTCTTGAAGGTGGCTTGGACTTCCTCGGCGTACTCGACGAAGCCCTTACCAACAGGGATGACCATGATTTGCCTAGGGCTGAGCCAGAAGGGCCACTTTCCGGCGAAGTGCTCGATGAGGATACCTGGGACACGAATGTTAGCGATGCTCAAGCGACATGCCATGCGCAATTCTAACCTGTGAATCTCTCAATGGATCCAGCCATGGCACGGTGGATAATGACAGGGCGCTGGCAGCCGTTCGTCAAAGGCTTGATGACGCGCTTCTTTTCCTTCTCCTCCTCGCCAGTACCGGCAGCTGAGTCGATAACGGCTTGAGGGTCCTTGGCCTTGAACTCGGGGACCTTGGGAGCGGCAGGTGCCTCCTCTTCCTTTGGCTTAGTGTTGACTTCCGCTGAGACGTATTCAAGACCAAAGCTCTGAGGAAGTTGGAAGTCCAGTTGAATAGTGGCGCACTGCCACTCACGGTTCAAGACGTCCAGGATCTTGATGTCAATCTTGGGACCGTAGAAGGCGCCATCACCCTCGTTGATAGTCCATGGCACACCGCCTTCTGTGGCGGCGAACTCGTCGAGTGCCTGCTTCAGCATGCCCTCAGCCCTGTTCCATGTCTCAAGCTCTCCCAAGTACTTGTCTGGGCGAGTGGAGAGACGGAGCTTGAAGGTGAAACCCAGCAGGCCGTACATCTCACTGAGGAAGTCAAACAAGTTGCTGATCTCAGACTTGATTTGATCCTCTCTGCAGAAGATGTGAGCGTCGTCCTGCTGGAATCTGCGCACACGGGTGAGACCGGACAAGGCACCGCTGGCCTCGTTGCGGTGAAGGACTCCAAAGTCAGCAACACGCCACGGCAGCTGGTGATACGCCTTGGGGGTGTGAGCAAACATGAGGCAGTGGCCAGGGCAGTTCATGGGCTTCAAGCCGAACTTCTCCTTGTCGACATCAAGGACGAACATGTCATCCTTGTAGTGGTCCCAGTGACCACTGATCTTCCACAGCTCTGCGTTGTACATGTTGGGCGAGATAACCTCGTGGTAGTCGCGCTTGAAGTATTGCTCCTTGATGTAAGCCAGGAGGGTATTGTAGATACGCGCACCGTGGGGCAGCCACATGGCACTGCCGGGGGAGAGCTCGTGGAAGAAGAAGAGCTGCTGGTCCTGGCCCAACTTGCGGTGATCACGGGCAGCTGCCTCCTCAAGCCACTTCTTGTGCGCAGCCAGCTCCTTTTTGCTAGGGAAACTGACACCGTAAACTCGCTGCAGAGAGTCATTCTCCTGGTTGCCGAGGAAGTAGGAGGCACTGTTCTTCATGATGCTGAAAGCCTCGATACGGTCGGTGCTGGGAACGTGGGGTCCACGGCAAAGATCGATCAGAGGACCGTTGCGGTAAACAGTGGTCTTCGTACCATCGGGAATCTTGTCGTTGATAATGTGCTGCTTGTACTTGTTGTAGCTGAACATCTCCAGAAGCTGCTCCTTGGTAAGCTCGAGGCGCTCAAACTTCTGTTTCTCCTTCACAATCGATCCGACAATAGACTCGAGGGGCTTCCAGTCGCTAGCCTGGACAGAAGCGCCGCCGGGAAGCGCCATCTCGTAGTAAAAACCATTATCGACCGGAGGACCGATGCACAGAGAGCATCCGAATCTCCTCTCGCAAGCCTCGCCAAGAATATGTGCGGAGCTGTGCCAGAAGACCTGCTTGCCCTGCTCGTCGTCAAAGCTCACCAACTCCAACTTGCAGCTCTTCTCCAAAGGTCTATCCAAGTCCCACAACTGGTTCTGGTCGCCGTCGAGTCTTGCGACAACGGTGCGCTTGTACAGACTGTTGGAGATGCTCTTCGCGATTTCGCCGGGGGTGGTCTCGTAGCTGGTGCCCTGACGAATAGAGCCGTCAGGCATGGTGATGGTGATGGCCTCACGTGGCCTGCTGGCGAGCTCTTCATCGTACTCCTTCTTCAACTTGTCGAAAAGGTCGAGTCTCTTCTGGAGAAAATCGGGCGGAGGGTTGAGCTCGAGGGGTCCGGCCGAGGCATCGCCAGTATCCTTAGCCTTCTTCTCTTTCTTTGGCGCCTTGTCCTTGTTGAGAGCGACCTTCTTGACGCCCTCGGTGACGGCCTCGACGGCCTGCTTCGCGGAATCCATAATGTCGTCCAATTGAGCGGTCGTGGTAGGCGTGAGAAGGGTGAGGGTTGAAAAAGTAAAGGCACACGAAGACCGATTTTCGTGCCAACAAATTTGGGCGAAACACAGCGAAGCAACCCCGCCAAAGCCTACGGTGAGTCAAACAAGGTGTTCGGACGACTTTCTGGTGGTGTCTGGCCCGCACTCCCTGCATTGGAGCCCACCACCCCGCCAATGGCCCTCAAGTCAGGCAGGTGGGCTGGTGGCTGGCCAGGTATTGGAAATTTTGGCGGGGTCACCCGGAAGGGATTGTTCCGACCCGCTAGCCGTGGCCAATGAGGGAGCTCGATTGGCCTGCACCACAATTTGGTCGCTGGGAAATTTTCTGTCGGCTGCCCGTTGGCCTCGTTTTTTTCAATAGCAGCACCAAAGCACTCAGTACAGGAGCAGCTCCGAACGACAACCCGCCAATCCACATATCAACATGTCATTCGGACGAGGAGCTCCGCGCGGTCGCGGTGGTGGTGGTGGTTTCGGTGGTCGCGGCGGCGGCGGTTTTGGAGGTATGAAATCACTCTACATTTCATTATCCCAATGCACTTGCAGATTGGGTCTGCTCGGTGACGGAATTCACAGTTTGATGCTAACATAACTTCAAAGGCCGTGGTGGCTTCCAGAACAGAGATATGGGCCCGCCCGCGACAATCCTTGGTACGCTCTCTCACCTTGTCGCTGTTTTGTCTCACGAGAGTATTCTAATCGGCAATTTTTGTATAGAGATGGGCAAGTTCATGCACGCTTGCGAAGGCGAGATGATCTGCGAGAGCATCAACCCCAAGGTTCCTCATTTCAACGCTCAGATCTTCCTCGAGAACAAGGTGCGACCTACCCCTCGTCGATTTATATCTCGATCGAAATTAGCCAAAGGAAATAGAACTCGACTAACTTTGTCCTTTTTCTGACAGACTGCCGTTGGCAAGGTCGACGAAGTCCTCGGGCCCATCAACCAGGTTTACTTCACCATCAAGCCCTCCGAGGGTATCCAGGCAACTTCTTTCAAGGAGGGCGACAAGTTCTACATCGGGTCCGAGAAGCTTCTGCCATTGGAGAAATTCCTGCCTAAGCCCAAGCCTCCCCCAGGTGCCCCCAAGGTCAAGCGTGCCGGCCGTGGTGGCCCGGCAAGAGGCGGTCGTGGTGGTCCCCGTGGCGGCTTTAGCGGCCGTGGAGGTGCTCCCAGAGGCCGTGGCGGCAGTGGTTTCGGTGGCCGTGGAGGCGGTCGCGGCGGCGGTGGCTTCGGTGGTGGCCGCGGTGCGCCGAGAGGAGGTGGCGGCTTCGGCGGCGGCCGTGGCAGGGGTGGTTTCAGCAGAGGAGGCCGGTAGGCCATGACTGGAGTTTTCAGCTTCAAAGTCTGAGTTGGGGAGGGTTTTATCTGTTGGACTACGACTCTGGCGTTCGGGTTTGCTTTGCTTTCTCATCGGGCCTGGCGATAGGGGTTCGAGGCTACATGTACATCATCCACTGTGGTCAACTAAAAATTAGAGAAAAGTCTTGATTGAAAGTGTTGGACAGTTCAGGATGATCATGGCCTAATATTCGCCTACGACCATTTGTCGTATCTAGGCCACTGACGTGTTTTCTCTTCAAGGTCTCGGGGGCGAGCCACTTGGTTTTGATCATTACTGGCCTCAATTATTCATTGATTTTGTTTCTCACGATAACCATCTCTTCAGGTCTCTTTTCTGGCCCTCGCCGGCCGGCGTCAGATACGTATCTCGGCTATTTCCAGTTATCATCGCAATGCGACTACAACAGCAGACCGCGCAAACAGCAAAGACTAAAGATTCAACATGTCAATCAACAGATGAAATGTTCGAAATCTTGAATGGCGGTGTACTGAGATCGCCTTGTGTGTTTTTTTTCTTTTCTTTTTTTTTTCTTTTTTATTAGCAGGCGACCAAATCAAGTTTTCTATGGGGAAAAGGATGAGACTACGAAGTTATCAGTGGTGGATACATACGCCTGGCGTCCTCCGCCTCTGAATGCGTCGTCAGTTCTGATATGCTCGTGGTCTTCGCCGCGCGTTTCACTTGCCAGAGCAAATAAGAACAGTACTTGGTTAATATGAAAGAAAGAGTGGCTTGGCTCCTATCCAGGCACCCGGTTGAGAACGGAGAGTCTAAGCGGCTTCCGCAGTCCCGCCGTTACTTTTCTGCAATGAGGCTGAGTCTGTGACGGAATGTCATTTCCAAAAATATCCCAATCCTTTTCATTCCAGTTATCCCGTATGCAATAGAATAACCCAAGAACCGAGCACACGATTGACGAAGACATTGACCATTTTGGACCATTGCGATTGAGCCCAATGACATGTTCCCTCTAAGGTTCGTGATCATTCTGTCTCCTCTTTCTCACGCTCATCCTCCTACTTATAGTCACTTCGCTTTCTTGGGACTCAGCCACGAACTTCATATCGCATCAGCTCTCTCAGACAACTCTGACCCGAAGTCAGGACAGAGTTCATTCAAGTCAGCTTAGCATAACAATCGTTCGCTCTGATCTGAGACCCGCTATTGCGATGGCACTTATTGTACTGGGCCAAGAGTTTGGTCTCATTCATGTAGCATCACGAAAGTTCCCTTGGACGGCCTGGGGCGTTTGCGAAGGATCTCTGTTGGTGGCGCGGTTCTTTGACAAGTGGGGTCTGGTTTACATCGTTGGCGCCAATCCCCCATCCTCCTTCGCATCAGCCTTGCTTGTTTACAGGGATCCCTGTTACAACGTCGTCTATCTACACGCGCCCAAGCAGTCGAAAAATTGCTGGACATCAAAAGTCTATTCGACGGCCTGCATATTGTCTTTCTCCATGACCGGTCTTCTGTAATCGTGAGTCCTATGCACTAGGCAGTAGTCCTGACGAACCGATGGAGATCGTCACATTGTACGACACCGCAGCGCCAGACTTGTGTGTCCGTCGACTGTTTGTGTGATCCAAAACCGAGTGTCGATTTGGCAAACTAGTTCAATGTGACGGCAACGCATAACTTGCGTGTCGCTTACCGAAGGCCATCCCGGAAATAAGAGAGACACGCCTCAAGATCTCCCAAACGTGTCTGCCTCGAATAGCAAACATGGTAGCTCAGATTAGGGAATGTTGACACCCTTGACACTGTTCTTGGACAAGCTCTGGTAGCTTCGAATCAGCCCTTCGAGACGGGGGGATCACGGAGAGGCAGTGGACTGCTGCGGCGCCCTGATTGAGGCCCATGCCCACGACCATGGCCGAAAGGATAGTAACTGCCTACGCCAGCCCCCTTGCGAGAGCCATCGTCAGCATCCACCGGGGATCAGTAGCTCAGGCCTTGAAGTGGACACCAATTTGTCGTGTCGCTCAAGCTACCAAGGTGACCAAGGTTGGACAACTGTCTCTCGTTCAATACCCGATCCTGTGCAGTCCGTATCTGGTCTGCGTGCCCCTGCAAGCAGGTGTTCATCTATCACGGCACTTCCTGCACCTGATTTGTACTGGTGACCGGCTTCTGTCATTCTCTTTCTCGCCTTCCACTCTATCTAACCGTTTCATTTGTATTGGCGTTGCTTTCTATTCTCATGCCTTCGTCTACCCGTGTGTGACTATCGGCTTTGCGTTGTTGCCCCTGTTGTAGCGTTCAGTCAAAGACTGGACATTGAATATCGATATTTCACCAAGCCGTGGTCTTCACAGATACATGTAGCTGATACACACCGACATGAGCAACTCAAGCACCACACATTCACCGTCTACTACTCGCACACCGACGACAGCATGGGAGACCCGAAACGCGGACGAGGCCATGCAGAGGGTGGCGGATGTCATGATAGCAGTCACAGAGTCGTTCCGACAACAGTTTCGAGAAGAAAATGCGAACGACAGCAGGCCATTCGGGCCCAACGGGCCAGGAAACTTGAGCTGGCGGACTTCGGCTCCGGTTCTTGTCTCTCCTATCCTCGACGACGACGGCGTGAGCCCAACGAACTCTCATTATTCTCGGCCGAGTACCGCTCCTTCGGCCCTCGACGCCTCCAGGCATGATGCTGTGTTGCCTGTATCGCCTACTTCCTCTCGTGATCCGGCGACATCACCTCTTTCACGGACCATGATGGTAGGGGCGTTGTCCGTTCCTCGACTTCCGACTGTAAATATCATACACCCACATAACGACACGGAAACACAGGCCCGACAACCATCGACTTCCACGCCGTTAGTAAAACCGACGGCTGCCACCACACTGCCGAGAGGGTCAGGACCCGAGGCACTCGAACATCCTTCAGAGTACCCAGACTTATTCGAGGCCGCCAGGAGGATAGTCTTCACGCAACGGTTCAGGTCCTCAACGGAGGCAACGCCCCTCAACAGACCCGGCGAGAAATCCAGGTACCCCGAAAACGAGGAGCGCATTTCCTGGGCTCTACAAACCGCAGCGTATCCGGAAGATCCCCTCCTCCGAGAGATACCGCCAGAGCCGCTGTCGTCCGCAAAGGAGTCCTTTCTAGTAGCCGTCGTCAGTCTGTACCAATTCCTTATGTTCGCCGGCCTCGTCCAGGCCATAGCACCGGCCCTCGCCATCGCCGAGTCGTTTCCAGATATACCGAGCGGCCAGCACTCGTGGTTCACCGCAGCCTATACACTCATCATCGGAGCCTTTGCCGTCCCCTCGGAACGCCTGGGCGACGCCTTTGGCCGCAAGACCGTCATCATCACCGGCTGCCTCTGGTTCTCGCTCTGGAGCCTCCTCGCCGGCTTCTCCATCAACGTCCAAAACGGCAGGGCAGACGGCACCGCCTACTTCTGCTTCTGTCGTGCCATGCAGGGCCTGGGACCGGCGCTCTGCGTACCCAACGGCTTCTCGGTTCTCGAAAGGACGCTACCGGCGAGCCAGAGGAAAGACATGGCACTGGCCTTTTTCAGCGTCGCCGCACCGTTGGGCTTCGTGGTAGGCGCGGTGATGTCGTCCCTTTTTGCCTACAACGATTCCTGGGAATGGTCCTTTTTCGTACTTGCAGCTGTCAACATTTCCGCTGCGGGTCTCAGCCTTTTGGTCGTCCCACGACAAGCCCCTCGAAAAGGCCCCTATGATCGTACTATCTGGGTACAGCTCGACGTATCCGGGACTCTCCTCGGCAGCGGCGGTCTCGTCCTGTTCAGTTTCGCTTGGAACCAGGCACCGGCCGTAGGTTGGCGCACACCGTACACCTACTTCATCCTCGTCATCGGCGTCATGCTCCTCGCCGCCTTCTTCTACAACGAGTCGACCGCTGTGAACCCCCTCCTCCCGCTGCGCGCCATGACCCCGAAGTCGAATCTAATCCTAGGCTGCACGGCAGCGGCGTGGGCCTGCTTCGTCATCTGGACATTTTATGGCTTCCAAGCCCTCGAGGTCCTGCGCAGCTGGGATCCGCTCCTTGCCAGTGCGGGCTTCGTACCCGTTGCTGTCGAGGCCGTGGCAGTGGGCCTGCTGCTGGCGTATCTCATGCCCGGAGAAGAGGTATACTGGGCGTTCTTCGCAGCCGTCCTATCCTTTTTGCTGGCATCTATACTCATGGCGACGGCACCATCCGACCAGACGTATTGGGCAAACACGTTCGTCAGCACCTTGTTCGCTCCGCTTGGGATGGTCCTGACTATGCCTCTTGCCACCATCCTGCTCAAACAAAACCTGGCAGAGGGGCACCAAGGGGTCGCAAGTGGTCTTGTTCTGGGCGTGTCGAGCTACGCCATATCGCTGGCTATGGGAATCGCGAGGAACGTAGAAGTCGGAGTTAATTCAAGTGACACGGACAAGCTGTCCGGGTTCCATGGGGCACAATACTTTGGGACTGGTTTAGGTGGCCTGGCAGTAATATGTGCAACGATACTCCTAGTGTTAGCAGTAAAGGCCAGAGGTAGATCTTATGAAGAGGGATACGTCTAAGAAGAATTGGTTGGATATCGTTTGCATTGTGCTGGAAATCGCCGAGAAGATAAGTGAAATACTGTCAAAATGAAAAAAAAGGGGGGTCGGCACCCTCGTTGCTCTTTCCGCGCCTTGCTTCCCTGAATGAACATTCTCTTCTCGATCACATTGAAGACAGGAAAGTTCGACACAAAAATCCCATGCCTTTATGTTCAATCGTATAGGATAGAAAACGAACAGGCAGACCCCTTCTCTTAAACCAGTGCCACTCCCTCATGTTCGAGTCGTTTTCCCCTCCTACCCATTCCTTACTCCAGTTTCCTTTCCCGTCCCTTTACATTCTCCTCAACGTCTAGCTTCGACTCCGGGTGTACCCTTGGGGTATTCACCTGGAATATGCAAGTTGGAAATCGTCGGCACGCTGTCGGTTCTGATGGTGCCAGAAGTCG